GTGTCAGCAAAGTTCAAAGGGCAAATCTGAGAGGGCAGAGGGCAGCAGAGCGAGGAGTACCACTGCCCTTCAAGGGCTGAGCTTCACTCAGAAGAGAAACACAAGATTATGTAGGATTTATCCACTGTTTCTCTAGTGATTTTTGGAAAGCTGAAACTGCTTCAAGGGGAAGGAGGAGCTCCAGCTGCTCCTGAGGAACTTTCCTGGCAGAACCCAGCGCATGCCAGTTTCCTTCTTTTTTCTGGCACGCAGGAAATAAGAAGGCAGGAGACCCAATATACACACTGCAGTGAACTGTCAGTAGGCAGATTTGCTAGGCACAGCTAACCTTGGCCTCTACCTATGAGCATACCCCAGACTGGAGATACCACCTTATGAAGGACTGAAAGTGTCTAGAAGGTGCTCGGCTGGTAAGGTTGGGTATATCTTCTTTTATTAACCATCCATCTCATGGTCATTACCGCCGTATTCAGCTCCTAACAAAGGTAATTAGCACAGCAATCAATCTAAAAACCCCCTGCATCTCCTGCCATTCAGATGGAATGTTTTTTAAAAGCAAATGATGAAATTTTGCTACTAGGTAATTATTTCCAAGGCATTATTCTGTGAGGAGAGAAGGCACGCTAGAAAGCAGTGGATGGTGATGGTTGTTTTCATGGCCATTCCTACAGCACTTACCTTGTTTCTCTGCTCAAAAAAGCATCAGACTGGACTAACTGCAGAATCCATCAAGGCCGATGTAACTAATGAATTTATTCTCACTTCAGGACTAGGATAGACAGACTGTGCCTGCTGTCATTGGAGAATTCACAGCCTCTTTTGGGTCATGTAAGGACTCTGCCACCACAGGAAGCCCTGCTGCTGCTGGTGCCATGTCCTCAGGAGCTCCCACTGCCCCTGGTGCAGTCCCCCCAGAGCCACTGGCTCTGCAGCCAGGAAGGTTCATCAATAAATCCAGGTTTTCTGCATGGCAGGACAGGTCACTGAGGGCACAGCACGAAGCTGGCAGGATGGGCTATTTTTAAATGACTCAAACTTTTGAAGTGTGAGAGGAGGCTGAGGCTAAGCAACCTTAGAAAACTTCAGACGGTGCCTAACAGGTAAAGAGAAAAGGATTGTTTGTCGTGGCTCTCATTTCTTCTCAGTTAGCACAGCAGTGAGGCTAATTTGGCTACAGACGTTCATTCAAGTAGAGCAGCTAATTGCTGCACATGGTCCTTCCTTTCCCTCAGAGCACGGTAGATACAACGTCCCAGATACAAAGCAGGGAACCAAGGCGCCTGCAATATTTTCTTCTTACCACAGGGTGGTGGTGAAGACTGAACTTTGTGAAAACTCTTCGTTGCTCAGCTGTGCTGAGGGTACCTTAATTTGATAGATCACACCTGTCCTGTCTTTGCAGTGTGGGAACCCCCTCAGACACAGTGTTTTCAGTCTCTTGCACCACCCGGGGTGAATTCAGGCCACTCCTGTAACACATTAACTCCCGTTACTATTGGTTTTATCCTTCACTGTTCACCACCAGCATTCAAGGATTTAATGACACGCTCAGTTGCTTTCCTTCCACTAGTCCTTAGACAGCAGCGGTGTCAGTAGTTTCAAGAAGACACAGTTAAGTATCAAGTTGCGGCTTCTTCAGAGTTAGTTACCAATAATATATACTTTAGTAGCACAATAGCTTTGACTGATGCTTGAATAACTAGATGGGGAGCCTGCTAATTACACATGAAAAGCTCTCTTTCAGTTTATTTACTTTAATTGAACCTCATTAATTCTCTTCCATAACACTTAATATTTGTAATGCCATGTTAACAATCTTTTTTTTAAAAAATTCTATAATCTTTCTGTCCCTAATTCCTTTGTAAATTGCTTAATACATAAACTAACTTGATTACATGCCTTCCACCCTACAAACCAACCAATCTGTCAAAGACTAACATTCGTGTAATGTATTTGTATAATGGAACAGGCAAATCAAAGCTTTATTAATCCATTTTAACAATTTTCTTTCACATAACAGTGGTAAAAGCCAAAGTCCAGAGCACTTCAGCTTAATATTGGAATAAATAAGAAGATTCCAGTTTAAACCTCTGTTTTAATTATTGAACAGCTCTCAAAATTAAATCACTGACCTTTGAGAATTCAGTGACCAAACAAGTGCTTGTCCTCAAGGCACATATTTGAAGTGTGCATTCCTTTACATGAAGCTTTTTTGCTCTCATTAAAGATGACCAAGAACACTGCAAGTACAAAGTGAATGAGGTAAGACCAAAGATCCCATATATGTGATCATGGTGGTGATGATGAGGATGATGATATTGGGAATGGGGTTTTCTGTTGGTGGACAAGGAGATGGTGGTGATGATGAGGATGATGATATTGATGTTGTCAGCTTGTGGAGAGAAGTGCTTGTATGGGGAATAAGCTGTCTATTCCTTAGACAAGAAACACTCCCTTAGACAACTGGGAATGGGGTTTTCTGTTGGTGGACAAGGACTGTCAGACTCCTCCATGGAGCACATCATATCCTAACAGCATCGTACAGAGCACTGCTTCCTTTTGCACTCCTCTAGAGTCCTTTGACTAAGGCAGCAAATGTTTATAGAGCTCATAAGTAGCAAATGTTTAATCTATTTTCAACTTTCTTTAGTGCCAACCAGCAGCAGCAGACAAAGTGGGATTTTGCTGGTGGGTGATCAAACACCTTGTTGTATAGCAAAGGCACCATAAATCACATTTCCAGTAATTGTTGCAAAATGAAGAACTTTTCTGAAGTTAGCATAAAAAGATTAAGGAACAGGTCCAAAAATAAAGGTCTACCTCTATAAATTAAGTTAAAAGAACATTTAGATAAAATATTGCTAACGGTGTAATTATTCATATTGAGAACATACTTGTCTCTCTCTACATGGTATTTGTGTGCACTGTTTTGTAAGACTGAGAAATGGTGGTGAAGAGATTAAAAAGAAGACATCGTTTTTTAGTCAATGCTAGTTAGTATTTCCAAAGGAATACTGATCTTAGTATTAAGTTCTCATTAATGAAAGAACCAATTCAAAAGCCAATTATGTAAAATTTAATCATTCTATGACTTTTACCTGTATAAGTACCTGCATAAGCTTAACCTATATAGCCCAAGCTTCTGCACATTACACATTTATGAATATTAATTGCAAATAAAGTGGCACTAATTTTGTTGCTATTTGATTTTGTTCCGCAATCTAATCTCATCCCATTAGTTGCTCTTACACTCACTTAAACCAGTTGTGTCCAGAATTAAGTATTAATGTATTTTGGTGGGCCTATACTAAAAGACATTATATAGGAGAGGCACTCTAATGAAATGATAAATATAAGCTGGACTTTAAGTAGTGTAGTTATATGAAAGGGGGAAAACCAGACTAAAGACTTGTTTTTGCCAAAAAACTCTCTTGATCCCTCATATCTTTGCCCTCATCCCACTCTGCTCCAGCAGACCTTGAGGTCATTCAACTTATTAAGGCAGTAGATCTGACCCTCTTGAGGTCATTCAACTTATTAAGGCAGTAGACAACTAATTCCAATGGAAAAAAAAAAAAAAAAAAGAGAGAAAAAGATGATGCTTTTGTGCTGAATTAGGGGTTGAGTTGCCCTAACTCACCTCCTGTGGCACCAGAGCCAGCTCCTGGGAGATGAGAGGTACAACTGTGCAGTCACAAGTAGGTGCAGGTAGAAATGTGGATGGAGAAGTGCACATTAAGACCTCTGCTTTTTCTTGGTTATGAGCTGTTTGACTGGTTCAATTATATTATTTTTGCCTTAAGAAGCCAATAGATAGATAGATAGATAGATAGATACTGGGTTATTAATGGCCAACACTGATGAAAGGTTGGAGATCAGAGAGAAGGGTTTCCTTACAGACTCCAAATGCATTATGTGCCATTTGGTAGGAAGTCTTTGAAACAGGAAAGAGGAAGCTGGAAGATGTAGACAGGCTTCTGCACAGCTCTGAAAGGCAGCAGTGGTCATGAAATAGCTTCTCTTTGGGCACTGTTCTGGCTAGAGGAATTTACAAAGAGATTTCTGAACAAGGAGAATGCTTATATGTATGCAAGCAAAACTACAGCTCAGAGAAACAGGATATTGTATGAATCCTTGTGTATGAATGCAGGATTACTAGTCCCACCTGAATCACTCTTCAAGACTTGAAATTTTGACTGTTGAGTTGAGCTTAGGACAACAACATTATTATTAGCACACTTCCTTGTAGACTTGCCAAACATTGGGGTTTTATGGTTTTAGTTGGAGTAAGACAGGTCACTGGAAGTTCTTTGGCATAGAGTTGCTGTGTATTCCTTGCTGTAATTGCTGGGAGGGTGGGGGAGGAGAGCAAAAGATTATAACTTTTGTCCAAGTTGCCTTTTTATCATGATCTTGAAATTTGAATTAAGTTCAGTCAAATCCATGAAATCTGGGCTTTGTCAATGCACACATGGCTTAAACAGAACAATGTGAAACTCTACGGGATGCACTGAGCTGTCCTCTTATTTGTTTGGCTAAATCTTGAGAACATCAAGGGTACCTCTAAATCTCCCCAGAGCTTTTGTGACTTTCAGCTGCTCACTATCAACCTGCATCAAAATTTCCCTTTGCAGCATCACTTATTTCCACAAGTCATACTGCATAAAATATGAAACAGAACCTGATGCTCCAAATCACAGGAAATTAAGGAATATTTTAAACTGTGTGAAGCCGAGTTAATGTTTCAAATGTATAATGACACCATGGCTGATAGTCCCATTAAATTATTATTTGAAATAGCACTCAGTCATCTCCAGGACTGTAATTAACGCTATATAGAGACCTACAAATAAAGCAAAACAAAACAACACACATGGTGAAAACCCATTTCCTTTTCTTCCTCCTTCCCCCACCCTGCATCCCCTTTTAAGGCAGACTTAGGCCGATGTGCTTTTGCTTTCTTAAATCTTTCAGCCAAAATCAGATAAGCCATCTAAAGAATGAAAAGCTGGATGATACTGCTGGCTATTGTAGTCAGCACAGCAGAAACACAAAAACAGGACGTCTGTACCCAAGGGTATCCTGGCATTCCTACAATGGCACACCTGGTCGTGATGGACGTGATGGTTCAAAAGGCGACAAGGGAGATACAGGTACTATGTTCAGAATAAATTATTTCATGTATCAGATGCAATGCCATTAGTTCCCAAAGTTGTCTATAGTGACTCTGCATTAACAGGATTATTCTGACTAGCCTCCAGAAAACATTTCAGACATTTGTCATTTACTTGTGTGAAGAAGGAAATATAAAGAAAGACTTAATAATGAAAGCAAGATAGCTAATACTACGGAGAGGTCAGGTCCATGGGATAAAAACAAAAGAAAAAAGACTTTATCTTTTATTTTGGGAATATTTTCATGTCTATTTGAAAATTTTAAAGCCTGTAAATCTACTCCTATCCTACATCTCTAAGACAGCAACTATATTTCTGTAAAAATCTTCAAGCCCAGTGAAAAAAACCCCAACAACTGATACCTTGTTCAATGTAGTAAGTATGCAGTGGTAAGAAGATTTCTCTTTCTTATCTAAATTTTACATTTGTAGGACTTGCTTCTGAGTGTGCCTACTTGCTGTAACTCAAGAGTCACTAGAGGGAAGTTCAGGAATGGAGACGGTTGTTAAACAGTGTAGGATTCATCTCTGCTCTAATACGCTCTAATAGAGATTTGTGTGGGATACTGAAGTCAGACTCAATCTTCTCAGCATCCTAAAGCTATTAATTCCCACAGTACTTTAAGCCTCAGGATAATGATGGCCCTTGCATGCACGCTGGAATATCAAGGCCAGGGTTGCACAAGGTGATAAATCTGTGGGCATGTGGACATATAACACTTCATCTGAAGTGTCACAACCTCAGAATGCAAAGCATAGGACAAGTGCAAATCTGCTGCTTCAAATTTGCTCACCAAATTTTGAAGGGGAACCTTTCCCCAATAGGTTTTCTGTTAGGTCAGCTATTGTGTGGCGTCATGCAGGTGGCATTATGGCTTAATGCATAAACCTGTCACAAACACTGTTATTGTGGGCCTGGCCAACTCAGCTGCACAACCCAATTCAGATCAAACTTGTACTTAGCAGTTAAACCCTTCTATTGAGTGCTGATCTTAAGGACTGTGAATCACAGCTCTTTTCAGTGGAGTATATAATCTAGTACATAAACCAAACTGAGGTCAACAGTCTAAAATAAATTACCTTAACATGTGCTAAAGTACTTTACTATGTCTTTCAAGCTAGTGGAAATGTCTGCCTTTAACAGACCAGGTAGCTAAGCTAAAATAATGTGTTCTTGTCATGCTAGATACAGGGATCAACAGTGTGAATGTCATCCTCTGACCTACAGGCAATACTATTCCCCTGTAATGTTTCATTACCATTGGCCAAAGCCCTGCTGATGTCTCTTCTTGAGAGAGGAATTTAGCATTGTTTCACTCCTAGGCTTCCTGTCCCTGCAAAGCTTCTTGCTGAATGTGGCTTCCCCACTCCTTTTCCTGCTGGTATCTTCCATGGATGCAGGCAATAACATAACAAGAGGTTTTTACATTGGTGGTCCTGACCAGCGTATAGCCCCTCTACATATCTCAATAACCCACCTGTTTATGCCAAGTATTCCACTGTCTCAAAAAAGCATCATCCTCATGCAGAGTTTCTGTGCCCTCTTATGGTCAATCTCTCCATAAGATGAAAATACCAACGGTGGCACCCACTGAAAGTGAGGAATAAGACTACTCTTTACGTTACTATTTAGCCAGGCTTGAAGAGGAAGGCTTAGAGAAGGATTCATCCCAAGTTTTCTGGTCATTTAATTGTTTAATGAAAACCTGTTTTTCTCTTCTGTACTAGGTGAAGCAGGACTTCCTGGCAGTCCAGGAAAAGATGGTGCAAATGGAGAGAAAGGTGAACAAGGTCAGAGAAGTGTTTCAATTTATTATTTGTCTATCAAGTGCTGCCCCTGTGTTTGTGAGCACTGGATGTGCTATACATTCTAGCTGTAGAAAAAGTACCTAGAGGCTAAAAAAACCTTTTTCTGGAAGTAGTAGAAGCTGCATACATATGTTGACAATAGAAGAGGAATTGGCCACCTCCAACTATCCCGCTGCCTCTGATGTTCACTCAGCCTGTTATCCTACCTTTCCCCCCTCTGATCCTTTTTTCAGCTGCTGAGGAAGACATTGCATCTGCAGCTACCTCAGGAAAAGTGAAGGTCCTGTAGCTAGCTATGCAACTTCAGGGAAAGGGACTTTTAAAAGAAATTGTAGAAGACGGAAGTTATACACCTAAAAATACAGCAGATCCTGTATACTTCACCTGTTTAGCCAACCTAAGCATATGCAGCATGTCGTCTGTGTCAGATGGATGTACATGTGCAGAGTGACTTGTGCAAAAAAGCAGGGAGTCAGCCATTGTGCAAGTGTATGAATAATTCTGTATGAGTGTATCACATCATTCTGCACAAATTCAATAACTCTGAGATGCTGGACTTGTGCATCCTTAGAGTAACTGTACACAGACAATGTATATATCCAAAAGCATGGAAGCCTGCCAAAGACAGTGCCCAGGTCCTCCAAAATCCTGAAGCTGATTCTTGAAAAATAACATGGTATATGCATTCCATGGGAGTAAATGCAAGCTGCTCCACACCCCTCAGACTTTTCTCCAGTTTATTAGAAAGAACTCTAGTCCTGAAAGGAGCATGAGACATGAGGCCACAAATGTTGTTTAAAATTACCAAAGCTACCTTCTTTTCCTATGTCTTGGTCCTGATGGACCCACACTACTTTTCCCAGAGGCTCACCATACAGTCTCACCTGTTTTCAGGTCATTGCTGTTGTTAAATACTCTCAATTGTAAACTGAGAACAGTCAACTGTAAATACAGCATTTCTTGTAGTATTAGAATCACAGAATCACAGAATGTTGGGGATTGGAAGGGACCTCAAAAGATCATCTAGTCCAACCCCCCTGCCGGAGCAGGAACCTAAATGAGATCACGTAGAAAGGCATCCAGGCAGGTTTTGAATGTCTCCAGAGAAGGAGACTCCACAACCTCCCTGGGCAGCCTGTTCCAGTGCTCCGTCACCCTCACTGTAAAGAAGTTCTCCACAACCTCCCTGGGCAGCCTGTTCCAGGGCTCTGTCACCCTCACTGTAAAGAAGTTCCTTCTGAAATTTAAGCGGAACCTTCTGTGTTCCAGCTCACACCCATTGCTCCTTGTCCTACCATTGGGCATCACTGAGAAAAGCCTGGCTCCATTCTCGTGACATTCGCCCTTTACATATTTATAAACATTAATGAAGTCTCCCCTCAGCCTCCTCTTCTCCAAGCTAAAGAGACCCAGCTCCCTCAGCCTTTCCTCATAAGGGAGATGCTCCACTCTTGGTGGCTCTGTGCTGGACTCTCTCCAGCAGTTTCCTATCCTGCCTGAACTGGACACAATATTCCAGACGTGGCCTCACCAGGGCAGAGTAGTACATCTCTTGACCTACTAACCACACCCCTTCTAGTACACTCCAAGATGCCATTGGCCTTCCTGGCCACGAGGGCACAGTGCTGGCTCATGGTCATCCTGCTGTCCACCAGCACACCCAGATCCCTTTCCCCTTCACTGCTCTCCAACAGGTCTGTCCCCAGCCTATACTGGAATCAGCTTCTTTTCCTGATTGATAGAGTATACGATCTTTATGGTATCTTTTGTCTGTCAACTGCTAACATGCCCTTTATATCATGAGACCTTCACCTTCGAACCCTTGTGCAGCAATCAGAGAATTTTCAAAGGCTTTGAGCTTCAGTCCAAGAGTGGACGAAGGATAAATGGAGCATGTGGTAGCAAATCACAAGGACAAAAGCCTTTAGTTGCACTGTAGTAACCCAAGCAAAGTTCCATCACATAGATGTTATCGAAACACATGGCAAGCAAGTTCTGGGTGTTGTGCACATAGAATCTTTCTCTGATTAAGCTGTGAATCGTCTCCCCCATTTTGTATACCAAAGGCTGAAAACAAGTGTCTGGACAGAGGCTGCTTGTGCCTGAGAGGATGTAAGCTGTCAGTGCTACCATCATCGGCCTGTAGCCAAATCACGCCTTCCTTTGAGCTTATTCTTGTTCCTCTCAGCCAGGGTCCCTGTTTTCTAACACAATAGCAGGTTCTTCAGATTTTATGCTTATCCTGCACTTAAATGTATGGACAATTGTATGTACAGTGAGCACAGTATGTACAGTGGTGACACACACCTACACCTACACCTACACATCTTTGTGCTGAAACTCATGTTGTGCTCCACTAATCCAGTGGAAGATCATAAGAAAGTATCTTTTTTTTTTCCCTCCTTTTTTTTTTTTTTCATTTAGGAGCCAATGGGACTGTTGAAGAGAAGGGGAACAAAGGAGATAAAGGAGAAAGAGGACGACCTGGGAAACTAGGACCAAAAGGAATTATAGGGTCAGTGGGTTACAAAGGTCAGAAGGGAGAGCTGGGACTGCAAGGACAAAAGGGGTTAAAAGGAGACATTGGGCCCATAGGTCCAAAAGGGACAAAGGGTGAAATTGGCTATCCTGGAAAAGTCGGTTTCCCAGGGCCAATTGGCCCGACTGGTAATCCAGGTCCTAAAGGTAATACTGGAGATCTGGGGCCACAGGGCAATCCAGGAGTTCAGGGAGAAAGGGGCTTGAAAGGAGACAGAGGAGACAAGGGGAACGTAGGTGCCCCAGCAGTCCTACCAAGGAGTGCTTTCAGCGTCGGCCTCACAGTCGCTACCAAATTTCCTCCCCCAAATCGCCCAATCAAGTTTGACAAGGTCCTGTACAATAGTCTAAATGACTACAACTCAGTTACTGGAAAATTCACCTGCAAATACCCCGGTGTTTACTATTTCACCTACCATATCACTGTCTACTCAAGGAACGTCCGAGTAGCTCTAGTTAAAAACGGCATCAAGATGCTGCACACGGTGGACAGGTACCAGAGTGGAGAGGATCAGGCCTCCGGAGCCACCATCCTCGAGCTACAGGGAGGAGATGAGGTGTGGCTGCAGGCTCACCAAGGAGAGACTTTCAACGGGCTCTTTGCAGACGCTGATGATGATACCACCTTCTCTGGGTTCCTTCTCTTCAGCACCTCTGACCCACTGGAGGTGCTGCCGTCACCCGCCACGTAAATCCATGTTACCTGTGAATGGTGTATGTCTGTGTCCTTCAGTCCCCCCTAATACAGTTTTTATCTGCTGGCCAATTTCAACTGGATTCAAAAGAAAACAGAAAGGTAGGAGAAAACAGGAGGTATGCTGAGGGCTGAAAGGGAGATGTAGGACTGCAGGGCAGGTGGGACCAGCTAGGCATCTCCCTAAAAGCTGAGTAATTTTTTTTTATTTTTTTTTAACTGAAGTCATCCCAGTGAGGTGCAGGTTCACCCTGCTTGTATCTGTAGGAAAACAGGCCTCATTAGGCACACAGCTGCTCATTGCACAACTTAACTGTGCTGAAGTTTTCATGGCCAGTTGCTAAAACAGAGCTCAAGGCTTCAGAGCCAAACTCAGACGAGTTTGAATTAAATGCCTTCTTGTCTCAGTCATCAAAGTACCAGGTATTTATCTATTACACTGTCTTAATCTACTGTTGTCAGCTTTGTTTTTTAAAACTCAAAATATAAAAAAATCCCAATATGCAGGAACTGTTTTTATATGGCTGCAGTTGCAGGACAGCTGGTTTCAGGAATGGCTTCTGCAAAAGACAGGACAACTCCGAAGAATCTGCAGTGTTGGGCTTGCTGGTTTGGTGACTTACTGTAGTTACACAGGGGTGTATGCACCAGTTCAGAAGGACAAATGTTTTAAAAGGGGCAAAATAAAAGGTAACATTTATAGTTCTAGAATTACAACATGTGGGTTTCTGCCTTTTTGTACAAACACTAAGCTGCTGTTACTTCTGAGCCTGTTTATATCTTTCTAGGTGGCATGCATAGACGGACTTGAAATTTGGTTAGTTTCCATCCAACCATTTCAAAATAATTGGAATTAGCATAGATTGATACCTCTACAGGGGCTGCTGGCTCTGTGGCACAAGATAATTTTGTTGCAGCTGGGCAGCTTTTACAGCTTTTAAATACGGATCTTTGCTCTTTGTGTAGCCAAAGGTCTGAAATAGTGTGAAATGGAGTGACAGGAGGAAGTGCCATGTGGGGAGATATTCAATGCAAAAAATACAGCATAATGCTGCTGTACTTCGGAATTAGCTGGTGTAAAAAAAAATTTCCCAAATGAAAGATAATCTTTAATCAACACTGAAGCAGACATACCGGAGAACTGATCAAGAGACATTTCCTGTGCCATTAGACTTTAATTTCTGTGAATTTTCTCAATTTTCTTTTTTCCCTTTTCCACTAAAACTCAAAAATATAACAAAAGCAGCCAGCAAGTCTCATCCCCTCTCCTTAAAAGAGAACAAAGCAGAGATGCCAGTTGACACGGGTGAGTATCAGGGCACTCAGCGCAAATGCAGGAGCACGAAGCCTGGTTCCCCTCTCCCCTGACGCTGCCGGGGCGGGAAGGGAACCGGGGCTGAACCACGAGTGGGGATCACAGACCCAGCACGGACACGGCGACGGGGGCTTCTCGGGAAACACGGGTGCACTTCTCATGGCAGCTCAACCACAGGGCGACAGACACCAGGGCACGGAGCCAGGTGTCTTATGTCAATTGGCTTATGTCAATTTTTCAGTAAGAGCAGATTTTTTCCCGTAGGCCACAGGCCATAAGTTTGTGTCACAGAAGCATCTACACCAAAAAGCGCTTTAAAATGGACCCAGGTTTAACTGGAGAACATGCAGGAGAAGTTTCAGTCGGCACACGCCCCGC